GCTAACTAAATTCACTTGTTTTCGTAATATCGTCGAATGACATTACTGGCTGGATGGCGCGCGCGCTTTTATATGAGGCAGCGGGCGGGCCTAGTACTTTCGAGAATGGAGACTAGAAACTTCTCGCTTCGCATTGAAGCTTACCGCCATCTATTGTATAGTTTGACAACTATCGGACAGGAAATAGTTACGGTCTAGTTCCCTAGAAGGCGTTAAACGAGGAAACGCGCGTTAAGCGTAAAATCTGTCTGTTTTGTTTCAACGCCCCGCTTCAACGCCCCCCAATCTTCTCTGTGCCCTTTACTGCCCCACTATAGGCCTCCAGCGCCCACAAGGAGGCATTATCGCCCACTTTGAGAAATACTACTTTGGAGGAATTACTTTTATTGACACATGAATTGTTTCGCTTAGGGTGGAATTTTACAGCAGCAAATTCATTTGAAGTTTCTTCCATTTGACTTAACCTTCAGCTCTTCCTTCAAAAGTCTAGCCAACAAGTTATCAAATATTTGTTTACTTATGATGCACTGTTTGGAACCTTTGGTGTAGTAATTAATATTACTGGAGTTTTTTCCCAACACCAAATCGTTATTTTTAAAACCTCAACACGTGTTTCGATCACCAAGTGATCATCTTCAAAGAGGAAGATTAAAACATTTGTTTGTCCTCATCATAAGAGTCCCAGGTAGTAACAAACACGCTATATTTATGAGGTAGACTACCCAAAACTTTCGCTACTTTATCAACATCTGACACCTTTCCTTGTACGTCGGCTAATGCCATTGGGGCATTGATTCAACCTTGCTTATATGCTGAGCAATCGTATCTGTTTCGGACATTCGATAATTGAAGAAGTGCTGCTTTAGCATAACTTTGTTGACAAAAGATCTTTGCTCATGTATGAGTTTGATTCTTGTGCACATTTCTGGAGCAGTTTCACAGTACATTATAGTTTGGAGTTGGGAGAATTCCATCGATGTGGATGTCAGAAGCATTGCTTTAGCATTGAGATCATCCCAATCCTTCCTATCTTTCTTGCAAACTAATTCACTCGGATGTTGGTTAGTTCCATTAACCAAAGTAATTAAACCCTCATCTCTAAAGATTATTTCCATTTGAAATTTCCATAACTGGAAATTACTGCCATCAAACTTCTGGATACTGAGACTTCTAAACTTGTCCATTTTATTCCTTACTGTTCCTGAACTTTACGTTTTCCTCAGGAAGTAAAGGCAATGCGACAATGACAAATAGAAGAGTCACAATTTTCTCCAAATTCAATAGAGGGTTGCAAGTTTTTCTGGACAATTATATTCATTCGGCGGGCAAAAGCATGTTGGCAAATAATAAATTTTGAGAGAAACAAAAACAACAATAATATAACTCATACTGATATATCTCCTGACCATTTCAATGACTTTTTTGGTAATATTGCTGACAATATCATTCAGTCTCTACCAACGGTATGCAAAGAGGGTTTACTGAATTTCAGAAATTTTCCAGTCCCTTGGAGCTCTTTTTTTCTGGGCCCAGTGACCAAAGAAGACGTTCAAAGTGCAATTAGCCCACTCAAAATTTCCAAATGCTTAGACGATTATGAACTAAATAGTGATATCATTAAAGAGACCTCCCAGATATTGTTGCAGCCTCTTTCTAAATTGATAAATGTAATATTCACAAGTGGTATTTTTCCTGATGCATTTAAGCTATCAAAAGTTATCCCTTTGTTTAAAAACTGAGACATTTCTCTTGTTAACAATTATCGTCCCATTTCAATAATATCCATTTTAGCAAAATAATTGAGAAGATTATTAAACAACGTCTTTACGCATATTTTGTAAATATTTTGTAAATAAATTATTCAACGAATCTCAGTTTGGTTTTCGTAATTACCGCTCTACAGCTGAGGTAGTTCTCAATGTGATGAGTGAAGTAGTCGACAATCTCGAGCAAGGTAACCACACAGCTATTACGATCTGCGACCTCTCTAAGGCGTTCGACTGCGTCTCTCATGACATATTATTGGAAAAACTATATTACCATGGCGTCAGGGGAGTATCTCTATCCCTCATAAAATTATATCTATCGAATAGATATCAAGCAGTCAGTAGCAATAATTGCATTTCGAATTTAAAACTCGTTAAACATGGTGTTTCCTAAGGATCAGTATTGGGACCACTTCTGTTCATAATTTACGTAAATGACATTAGTAATTTCACGGATTCATATAAATCTGTTTTGTTTGCCGATGACACTACATTTATTTACTCTGACAAAAATTCTATTGAACTATCTAGAACAGGGGATTTTTATTGCTTCAGTTGAGAAATATAACTAGTTTCGATACACTGAAAATAACATATTTCTCCCTCTTCCATTCTCACATTAGCTATGGTGTTATACTCTGGGGAAACTCAACTGGGGCTGTAAAAATTTTTAAATTGCAGAAAAAAGCTCTCAGAATAATTACTAACTCTGGTTATAGGGATCATTGCCTACCTCTGTTTTTGAAATTGAGAACGTTCTCATAGAAATTCATAAAAAATCAACTTCATTAATCAAGCAATCAGTCCTTCATGACTATGATACCAGACATTTAACAAATTTTGGACAAACCGCTATCGTTTGACTAAATCACAAAAAAAAACACACTGAACTTCAACCTCTACAAGTATCTTCCCGATTGTTTCAAAATTCTTAGTATGTCCAAATTCAAAAAAACAATAAAAAATTATCTTTTGAGTTTTTGCTTCTACTCTGTCGAAGAATACGTAAATTATTTTAAATGTTTATAATGTCAACATACATACTCAATTTTTGTTTTTATATTTTTGTATTTGTGTTTCTCGTTTGTTTTTATAATATTTTGATTGTTCAACAAATTACTTTCATGCCATTTTTTGACTCGCTACAAACATTTTATTATGTAACGTGGTGAAATAAATTATCTATCTATTATCTATTACTAATAACTTAGCAACAGTTACTCATTCGTGATCTGGACCCATAACCTTTTGGAAATACCCAATAAATTGTGGAAGAATGAGTAGAATAAACCAAACCAAAAACTGTTCATGAGTTCAATTGTCTATAAAACATCTGTCATCTAGATACTCAACAAATTAAGTATAAAACCAGTTGGTCAAGCTTATAAAATATAATAATATGACACCTCAAATCATATATTTCTTCAACAAAAAGGTCATAATTACTATCTGTATCCTATACGCTGTAACTATGTATAACTAGTTTTTTTATTTTGGGTTTCTATTGTAGCTATAATTATTTTTAAGTGTTTTTCAACACAGTGTTTATATATGAAAGGTTTCACAGTATACTTTGTATTTGGTTTTTAGAAGAGATCTTTGAATTTGAAAGTCCCCAGCTACCAAAAAAATTTCAATCTTCTTTCTAATCCTCGACAATGACGTCCCTCTCAGGTTTCTTGGTTTTTTCCCCAAAAATGTTATTATATTGGACTAATTTACATCTTGTGAAATTTGATAAATTCACACCCATATTCTCTGATTATGATTATTATTATTACTATCTTCTAAGAAAGTAGTTGAATCCGTGTATCAATTTATTTTGTAAAACCTTATGAGCTACCCTTATAGATGATTATAACTTGTCTGTTTTATTGGGTATGAACTTAATCTCATTTCCCCAATTCTAGTGCCATACTGGACGCCACACGACCCAAAATGGATATTTCCGAGGAAGCCAGATCTTGGCTTGTCGACATTGTCCAGGCTCTGGAGACCCAATACCCGATTCCCTTTGACAAAGAAGTATACAAGATCCTATCTTCAACCTCTGACAAAAAATCTACGCGCAAAAGAAAATGCCTCATGAAAATCCTAAAGGGCGCTTCCACCTACCAAGGGAAATTCAACATCTTCGAAAAACTCTATAATCCCAATCCGGTTTTCAGAGAAGAAGCTCTCAAGTATTTGCTGGACAATTACGAAATTTTGAGGGAGACAGACAGAGAGATCATCATCAGTTCTTTCGCTGATAGACTTAAAGACGATAAAGTCGAGGTCATCGGCGAGACACTTTCGCTACTCCAGGAAACACCTAAAATCAACAAAGCACCCCTGAAGAACGTTTTGATTCAGCTGGCATATAAGTGCCAAGGCAATGCTTCCTACTGGGAGCCGGTAGCATACAAAGTCGCAGAACTCTTAGGGTCTAGCTTCGAAGCCAATGATTGGCAGGTATTTTTAGTCTTGTTTCCATACTTATTGCCGAGAACTAACAAAAGCCTCGGAAAATGTCGGAGATTGGTCAAGTCGAGCTTTTTCTCTAATCATGAACTTTTCAAAACTAAAATTAATACTTGGAGGAGTACTAGTGACGCTACTTCTTTTTGTGAGGTTTCCCTTGAAGCAGTAGCTTCTAACACCGACCTGGATAAGGTCAAGGAATTTCTATATGATGCTCTGAAACAGCTTCCCATGGACAAGTATAGAACGTTTCACTTATACATAGCTTTGCTTATATCTTCTAACCTATTGCCCCATAGCTCTTCTTTGGAGATAGGGGAGTTACTAGTTAAACTCTCGATTGACTGCGTGAATTCGTCTTGGAATAAGGACAAGGAGGAATCTTCAGTTCCGGGCCAACTAGCACTCGCTGCTTCTGGAAAAGTCCCTCTCCTAGGGGTTTTACAGTGTATTGAAAATACTGTTCATAAAATGAAGAAACCTGATTATAATCTTTCACTTCACGACTTCCACAAGACAGATGCTGATGAAGGTTTTTTTTTACGCTTGACTAGTTTCCTTATCGGCAACATCGAAAGTTATGAAACAGTTCTGAAGGAATATTTGAACGGTTTCTGTGACGACAGCCTATCTCAAGTAGACTTTCTCTTGAATCTCTGCACATCGGAAAGTGAGGTTTTGGAAGAGTGCTTCAAGAAACAAGTCCTGACTTATTTGAAAAACGCATTGAAAGCCGACAAAGAAGAGAACTGGCTCATAGACGCCAATAGACCAACAACTGTATTTTCATTGGTGCTGCTTTGTGACCCTGACGAAGAAATTAGAAATCTTGTTTTCGAGCTCATCAGTCTCTTCATCGACAGTTCCGCCGGGAAGTCTTTCACCTACATCCACCTTTTGGAGAGTATCACAAAGTATAAGGAAGAAATTCTGACTGACTGCGATCAAATGCCTCTGGTTCTGTTCAACATTCTGGACCCCCAGAGCGAGAAAAAAGGATCCCAATGGAACGCCATTCAGGATCACTTGCTGGAAAAGTGCTGCAGTTCAGAAAGCCCCGTTTATCTGAAAGCCGGCATCCTGAAGATGATGTCGCACATAAATTCTTTTGAAATCCTCGAATCTGTGGCAGAAGTAGCCTTGGAGATCCTCCGCCATAGCCAGGGCTCGATAGATTCTTTCAGCGCCAAGATTATAGGATACGCCTTAAGCCGGATCGAAGCCAGTGTCATGAAAAAACTTGGCCTGGATACGGTTACGTGGAATTTCCTGGAAACAGGCATCAAAGACGATCGAACGGTAGTAATCAATGAAGAAGGTGACAAGATGTGCCTCTCCCACCTCGTGCTGAACCAGCTGGAAAAAGAGTGTTTCGAAGTCCTGGACGACTCTATAGCAGAAAAATTGCTCGACGTGATAGTCGAAATTGCTAGCACGACGCAGAACCCTGAGGTACCTCCCGCGGCGAGTAGGATCTTCAAGCACATCGATCTAGACGCAAACTTGATCCTGAGTCATTTGACGAGAATGCGGGACATACAGTCTCCGAAGGTAGACCAGGCGAAGAAGAAACGCAGAGTGAGTGTCATCCCCACTGTTGACATACTTGATCTAGTCGAGTGGAAGAAGGGCGTAACCGTACTGGAATTCATCCAAGATAAAAAGAAAATACGCAACAGTGACGTTCTGATGCAGGTCCTTTTTGACCTTCTCAAACGGTGCCTGAACTTCGACGAGCAAGCTGCTGTGGAGTACCCCAAGCAGCTGCTACTCTCTTCTATCCTGCACTGTTGCTCGAAGACGGAGCACCCGTTGCCGGAGAATGTTTTCAACATGGAGGTTATAGTGCAGTGTATCAGAGCCTCACAGAATCCGCAGACGCACCACCATGCGTTATTGTTGCTCGCACATACTGCCAACTTGTTTCCGACGCAGGTCTTGCATCACATGATGGCGATTTTCACGTTCATGGGGTCGTCAGTCTTGCGTCACGACGATGCCTACAGCTTTCAGATCATCTCGAAAATAATAGACACTATAGTACCGATTCTGGTGAAAGACAACAACGAGGGTGATATCGCCAAGGTGCTCCGGGTGTTTGTGGACGCCATCCTCGATGTTCCCGAGCACAGGCGCATGCCGCTCTACAAACAGCTGCTCGATAATATTGATCCCAAGGAGAACCTCTACCTCTTTCTTCTAGTCGTCGTCGAGGCCCAGGTATTGCACAGCAGCGAGAAGAAACAGAAGAACGACAAGACGCAGAGAAGACTCGTAATAGCTGCCGATTTGTGCGTGCAGTTCCCTCCCGAAACCGTGCTATACACCGCCGTGAAAATGCTAGACTACGTTCGGTCCCTGCCCGAGGAAAAGGAAGATGCCATGGAAGTGGATGCTCACAGCGGCACCTTCGACGTATCCGCACAGAATCCCAAAGACTTTCGCCATTACAAGTACCTGCTGTTGAAATTTTTGACGACGCTGCTGAGCAGTTCTGCTTTTGTCAACCAGGTGGCGACGCTGCGCGGTGAAGAAGAGCTCGCGCTGGAACCGCTGCTCAAGGAAATGATTGTCAAAGTATTACAGTTCGTTCAGAAGATATCCAAGGTCGTGGATAAATCCGCTAGCGGTCCGCAGGCGCATTACTGGAAGGTTATCTTGCATCTCGGATACGACATCTTGGATAGCATCAACGCCCTGGTCACGGCGCAGATGTTCTTGCTGGTTACCAAGGGGTTGATGGTCCATACCCTGCCCACCGTTCGTAGGCGGATACTAGAACTGCTAAACATGAAACTGCAGTATAACTCGCAGTTTTTCGCCGATTGCGAGAAGAGTGAGATATATACGTTGATCCCGCCGATAATATCCATAGTCGAAACTATCGACGAAGGACTGGAGCCCGAGCAAGAGATTATAATCCAAACAGCGCTTTTATCTCTGAAGCTTCTAGTCAAGTCGCTCGCAAGTGATGAACCAGAAAAGTTCGTGCCCATTTTGGAATTCATCACCACAATCATTAGATCCGGCAAGGCAAAGAACAACGTCCTAGCTTCTGTAGTACTCTGTCTCGCGGAGCTCTGTGTAAGTCTAAAAGGCTACGCCATTGCCAGCCTTCCGGAGTTCATGCCTGCTATTACGAAGATACTCAAGCTGCAAAAACATGAAGAATCTTCCAGCGTACTTCTAAGAAGCACCATTACTACTATCGAAAAAATACTGGATAGCATGCCTCTGTTTTTGAGTCCTTACTTGGAGAAGCTCCTAGTGGAAGTCTCCATTCTGTTGTCCAAGTGGGACGCTAGCCAAGGCGAACAGAAAACCCAGTCCCTAGTAAGTAAACTGAGCAGTATAAAACAGAAGATTGGGTCTATGATACCTTTAAGAGTACTACTGCCTTCTGTTGAGCATTGCTATGATAGACTGATAGGCAAGCACTGTTACAAAGCCACAAGTGCCTTGATGGACGTGCTATGCGAAGGCGTGGCAAACCTCAAAGGTGCCGACATCAACTCCAACTTGCCCGAGCTGACTAGTTTTTTCCTAAACGCCTTGAAGTTCCGGTCGGAGAGCGAGTGCACCTTGGACGACACTAATTTAGTCGAAAGCCATGTCGTGAAGGCATTCAAAAGCCTCATTTTGAAGCTGTCCGAAAATACGTTCCGACCGCTATACTACAAGCTGTATGACTGGGCGATCAGGAGTGAGGTTAAGAGCGAGCGATTGATTACATTCTACAACTTGTCCGCAGGCGTTGCGCAGTCGCTGAAAGGTATTTTCGTTCTGTTCGCCGGGCATTTCATAAATAACGCTGCGCAGACTTTGGATTCTTGCAACACAGCAAAAAGTGAAGAACTGTTCTTCAGCGAGGATAGCAAGACGAAGTTACTGCTCGAAAGAGTCTTGGGTACTTTGGATGCCGTCTTTCTGTATGACAGCCAGAAGTTCGTGAACAGAGAGCGATTCGATATCTTGATGCAGCCATTGGTAGACCAGTTAGAAAACACTCTAGGAGGAATAGAAGAGCTAGTCGAGCGAAACAACAAACTCCTGACACCCTGTCTCGTGCATTTTGCAGTGGCCGCTGCTGACGACTCGCTGTGGAAGCAGATGAACTATCAGATCTTGTTGAAGATGAGAAATAACACGCCGAAAATACGGCTGGTGGCGTTGCACTGTTTGACAGAGATCGTTAAGAAGTTGGGCGAGGATTTCCTTCCTCTATNTGGCTTGTGCTAGTTTGTGAAAAATTTTTGATTTGGCTTGCATAATTTTTTATGCCGATATCTGAAGTGAAAACCTGTTCTTTTGGTCACTCGGTTACCCAAAATTTGAAATTGCTAAAAACTTGAATATTTCAGGAACTTACTTATGGTAATAAACACTTGTACAATGACACCTTTTCACGATGTATGCAACAGACTTTTATTCCGTTCGAATGATTTTACAGAATGATAAGACATCTATTTTGCCAAAATAACCTTTTTGGAATCATGTTCATGATGTCATCGCTTCACTAGAGTTTTTTGATTAGGTATTTAGTGGCAATACCTTCCACAAAATGTCAAAATGAAGATATGAAAATTATGTTGGTAAATTTCGAAAATTTTACCTATTTTGCCCTAGAAGACAAAAGGGTCAAAGAAGGTGGCATTTCTTTTTAATAGCCACATAAATTTGATAATACCACATTCAGTTTTGTAATGCTGCCAAAAGAAACAGCGAAAAAGTTCCTTGCAAAGATCAATTCAATGGATGTACATATTTATAATTTGTTAGGTGCTTGAATCAAAAACTAAATTCGCATAATTTCAAACACACTGAAAGACTATTTAACGCTCTAGCTACTTGTCTGATATATTGTCGATTATCCATTTGTACATGTTCTAAAACTGCAAGTTCAACTCCGTCATTTCTGACAGGACGGGATACTTCATGTTTTCTGTCGTGAACAGAACCTGAAGTTCGAAACTCATCCATTAACTGTTTAACGTATTGATGACTCACGTTGTGGTCTGGATCACTCGTATTATAAATTCTTGCAGCTGCTTTAGCATATTCATTATTTCGATAATAGGTTGCAAGAAATTTCTATTCTTTCTTCAGTAGAATAAACCATGTTGGAATACAGTGAACAAGAATGACTGAATACTGAATAATGATACGTGAAGAAGTGACAGTGGCCAACTACCTACTTTTTGTTCTGCGAGAACTAGATTCAACAAAAACTAATAGTGCAGAAAAAAATAACAGTGTTGCCCATTTCAAAACGTTTACTACTAATTAAATAAATTCTTCATATCTAGAAGACCGGCGACAGATAATGGGGAATGTTCCTCAATTTGGGTTATTACAGCAAATGCAAATTTGAACAAAATAAAGTTGAGTTTAATTCATGAGTTTTTCAAATTCACTTC